AAACAGTAAGTAGTGCTGTAACAGCTTTGTATGGTGACGGATGGTAACTAGATATGGTAATGATCATTTTGAAATGTATATGAATATTGAATTACTATAATGTATACCTGAAAGTAATATGATATGATATTGAATGTCAATTATACTTCAATTACAAAAAAACTATAGTCTATATACAATAGAAAATTTATAGTCCTCACAAACTTCAGCTGTTTCTGAACAACACAGTAAAATAGCATACTCAGTTGTTTACCTAAAGAAATGTGCTTGTTTACTTTCTGTTAATTATACTGTCTCATTTGGTGGGATTTAAAGAGTACACAGAAATAGTGGGTTGGTAATGAGAGGTTTAAAAAATTGCATTTTAAGTAAAAGTTTTAGAAATTAACTCTAAAATTAGAAGTGGTAAATAGCACTTAAAGCTAAAGTTTAGGCTTCTCTGAGACTGTTACTAACTTAAGGGATTTAAAACTTACCAGAATTTTCTTGCCGTTTAAATAGGACTCACCCAAGAAAAAAATGAGTGGTGAAAATACTTGTAACTTTATGGACTTATTGGATAAGTTCAGCATTATTTTCCACATATTTGTGTGAATTATGAGGCATATTTTGATACCTCTTCTCGTGGATTTATGAGTTTTTGGTTTTTCTCTTTGTTGTTTAGTAGGTTTTTTTGTTGTTCTCCCATTCTTAGTAAATAGAATCCAAGAATGACTTTTACGTAAGTGCCTTTAGGTACTGCCGTCCTGTACAGTTGTAAATGTTGACCCTTACTTAGGCTTAATCCTAGCCCTTGCTCTTCTGTTGCTTTAGAACAGCTTATTTCTAAATTGAAGAACATCTTTAGAACTACTTATGGGAGGGCAGTGAGGAAGCCTTCTTACTGGGGTGGGAGCTCAAATAAGAATTTAAACCTGTAGGGTTTACGTGTCTTTAAACTTGTTAATTCAAGTTTGCTTCTATTAGAACTGGAGCTATGTATGATTTCTGTATGGGAGATTCTGTTGTCCAACTAAAACACCATATACTTATTTCTAATAGCAACAGTATGGATAGGATACAGAGGAAGGAAAAACATCCTTTATTTTAGATGTGCTGTATTTCACAGGCTAAATCTAGAGGACAAAGCATTTTAGCACTTATTTGTAGGTAATTTTTTTTTTTTCAACCTGAGGGCCATCAGGGCTAAGAAGTACCATAGGAGATTGTGACATATTTATAAAATGGGAATGTGGAAGAGTTTTAGGGTTCTTCTGGAGAGCCATAACATAGTCTGCTCAGAGTATAAGGAGGAATGCAGGTGATCAGGAAAGTGGGAGTAAGGGCGCTGTCCGGGGAGTGGCAAAGAGAAAGACCATCTGAATTTTCACATGATTGAATTATTCCTTTGTCAGCAGTGGAGACGTAGTTTTGTATTAAACTCAGTATTTTATATGGCATGTATAGGTAATTGTATAATTCTGTTTGGAAAAACCACAGTTTAAATCTTATTTGGAGATAAGCAAAATTGATGAGAATTGTTAAAAAAAATTGTGACCAAGAAGAATCCAGAGCCGCGAAGGTATTTATTATCTGTCACAATTACACAATCAAAGGACCACCCCCCAACCCCCCCCTCCCACACACCGCCGGC